TTTGGGACGGTGCCTGGTCTGTCAACACTCGCTGGAATGCGCGGCGACGGGACTTCTGAGCGTGCTGTCGCTCAACAGGCGTTCCTGGTTCTCGGGGCGTCTTCTTCGTCTGAGGCTGCTTCGTGAAAGGCGAGATTGCAGTTGAGACGCCAAGTTTGCGAGTAATCAGCTTGCACTTGTCCGGCAGACGAGATGCGTAGAACGGGACAATGATCTCCGTGCAGAAATCGCGGACAGCATCACTTTCAACCTTCTTCCCAGATAGATGGTTGGTCTTGGCCGAGTCCGGGACCACTGTCTCCTCGAAGCTAACGGCATGCCAGATGCACAGTCGGTCGAGGTGTAGCTCAAGCATGACATTCAGGTCCTGGGGTTTTTTGCTTTTGGCGGTTTTCGTAAGCTTGTCTGCGCCCTCGCCATTACTCTCACGCTTCTTCTCATCCGCAATAATCGCCTCCAAAGCCATAGTCTCAAGAATCAAGAGAATCTGCAGTTGCGTTTCGCGCAACCGCAAGTCCGCAATATGCTTCTTCGATTCTGCATCCCTGGACATCTCGGACGGAAGCCCTTGATCATTAAGTGCACGATCGCGCCACCACTTGCGAATCAAGTCACTCTCCTCCGGATACAGCCCATTCTTGCCAAGTTTCTTCTTGGTGCTCCTGCGCTTCCGCTTCGGCGGCGCAGCCTCATCATCGGAAACACTCAGCAGCAGATCTTGAACCGTAGTCGGCAAAGTCTCACGATACTTGTGATCCATTCTCTTTGCAGTAAGAATAGCCTCTCTGTAGAACTCGACCAATTGGGCTGGTTTTCCAGACTCATTGTCTGATGACTGAAATGCCGCGCGACAACGCGCCAGAGGGCCTTTGGCAAAGTAAGCCACGGAAGTCTGTCATCAACTATTAGCATTGCCTCACCGTCCCAGAACGCAAGCGCAGTCACTCACCTTCGACACATACAACGCCTGTAGATACTGTTCCCGCAGCCCATCCAGCAGCTCCTGCGGCGACTGCGTTACCTCCACATCCTGCTCTTCAGCAGCAGCAGTAGCAGCAGCAGCATCACCACTCTGCTCCCCAACACCCAGCAACACCGGCCCCTCCGAGCCCTCATCACTGCGCAACATCTCATCCTGTGTCTCCCTGGCATCACTCTCAAACACATGTGCAAAAACAACCTCCACATCCACAGCACCCCGTCCTCTTTTCCCAAGCACAACCGGCTCCGGATCCTCAATCTTCGCAACCTCCCACCACTCCCCGACCTCTTTCCTGCGTCTTCGCCGATCCGTACCAGACGAGAACGAAAATGGAAAAGCTGAACCAGCACTCGCCTTCGCCGCAACAACCACCTCCCCCTCGCCAACACCCCGTAGTCTCATCAACGTATATATCCCCTTCTTGACGCGCTCAACCACCCATACCCCTGCCTCTCCGACAACCCGTACCGCAAGGACAGTATCCTTGGCATTTTCGTTCTCAAGGACAGGAATATCTCCGACGAATATATTACACCACCCCGGACGATTTTGACTTTGGCTCTTGTGTTCGCGTGGCTCGAAATCTATCCACGAATAGGGAATAGCATTGCGGGAGAGGGTAGTGATAGGTGTGAGGTGGTGGTAGGGGTCTTGGTCTTCGGCGAGGGATGCGGAATGGGACTATCATTAGTGCCGAGTTAGCAACTTCATCGACGTAAACCGTAGAAGGGGAGGTGGTATACATACACGAATACTTATCGTCTGCGGCGACTCAGAAACCGCAAACACGTCATTATGGACATTGACAGTCTCGGAATGCGAGACCTTGCGCTTCTTGAGTGGATGGTTTTCGATAGATGTATTTGATAGCGAGGAACTTGTGGTATGGCTCGGGACGAGATTCAGAGGAATTGGAGCGAGGATGTTGCTGCTGGGAGGAGATGTTGCTGCGGTGGTGGTGGTAGTTGCCATGGATGGTGGATGTGTGTAAGTGGACGCGTATATTGGCTAGTCTGGGTATGTATTATGAGTGCAGCATCTCGTGAATCGACAAGTCGGTATGGAGAATGTGCTGCGTGATGGTCTTGTATGTTTAATGGGCCTTGTTAATGGGGTAACCTAGAACAAAAGTAGTGTTTGTGGTGGTAAGTCGAGACCTTCTCTCCCTGGGGCGGTGGGTGACGCGAGTCACGTCGGCGGAGAACTGGGCGGCACGCGACGCGGCGGAGGGGTTGCCGAGTATAGCAGATTTTGTTAAGTGCCCGCCCACGGGGATTCGCAGACCAGCAGATCTATGAGACTTGAAATCTTGGAAGATTTAAATTGTATAGACAAGTTGAACGGAATATTATCTATTGGTCAGGGTCGTCGGAGGCACGTATACGGAGTATTCCCGATCATGCGACCGCGATAAGACTTGTATGCTTCTAACCCTAAGTCGGATGTGACCACGGAACAGCCATCAATGACTGACTTCAATTGCTCCACTTGTCCATCTACAATCTACAAGATGTTACACGGCACAATACTACTCCATGCATATGCATTCATTAATCTATGTGCTAATGTTTAGATTAGCAAATGGCGAGATATCACTCTCAAGCCATCTATATCACTCCTGTCGGAGCATCATTCGAACCCCAGTGCGTGTGGGACACGCACCATCACGCCGGATGGCACGCATCCCCCGCAGATAAGACTCGAAGTTCCTATCGGTCCTAAGCCCGGAGGAGGCAGTGTTGAAGACTTTCGCTCCCGAAAACGCCGAAACAACCCTCCCAAGGTATATGAAAAAGTGGTATCATGTTGAATTTATCCTCGCCGAACCCGTCTCTTGCCGAGAGACCATGCAAAAATTTGAACAAACATCCAAACATAAAAGTTGCTTTTTTGACATGTCTATGCTCGTGCTTTGAGTTGTTGAAAACAAAGCAAAATCATCACATTCGTAAAGGAAACAGACTCAGAAGAGAAGCAGGTCCACAGTCATTGCGAGCGACTCGCTTAGAACTTGAGGGCCTTGGGCTTCTCCCAGGAGAATTCCTGGTTGGTGAAGTGACCGTTCTTGGCGGTCTTGAAGTAGATGGGCTTGGCCAGATCCAGCTCCTTGACAATGACACCCGGACGGAGGTCAAAGTTGTCACGGATGATCTGGACGAGCTCATCGGAGGTCTTGGAGGAGGTGCCGTAGGTCTCGACGAAGATGGACAGGGGCTCAGCAACACCAATGGCGTAGGAGAGCTGGACGAGGGCACGGCGGGCAAGGCCAGCGTTGATGAGGGACTTGGCGATCCAACGAGCAACGTAGGCAGCCGAGCGGTCGACCTTGGAGTAGTCCTTACCGGAGAAGGCACCACCACCGTGAGCACCCCAACCACCGTAGGTGTCGACGATGATCTTACGGCCGGTGAGACCGGCGTCACCCTGGGGACCACCGATGACGAAGCGGCCGGAGGGCTGGAGGTGGTAGACGGTGCGGTCGTCCAGGAGGTTGGCAGGGATGACCGACTTAATGATCTGCTCCTTCAGGACCTTGCGGAGCTCCTCAGTGGAGACCTCGTCGCTGTGCTGGGCGGAGATGACAATGGTGTCCACACGAAGGGGCTTGACAGCACCGTTGTCGTGGGCGTACTCGATGGTGACCTGGGTCTTGGTGTCGGGGCGGAGCCAAGGGATGGTGCCGTTCTTACGGGCATCAGTCATGGCCTTGTTGAGCTTGTGGGAGAGGACGACGGTGAGGGGGAGGAGCTCAGGGGTCTCATCGGTGGCATAACCGAACATGATACCCTGGTCACCAGCACCGAGCTTCTCAAGGGCCTCCTCGTAGTGCAGACCCTGGGCGATATCGGGCGACTGCTGCTCAATGGCAACCAAGACGTTGCAAGTCTTGTAGTCGAAACCCTTCTCGGAGGCATCGTAGCCGATGTCCTGGATGGCACCACGGATGACCTTCTGGTAGTCAAGCTTGGCCTGGGTGGTGATTTCACCGAAGACCATCACCATACCTGTAACGTGGGTCAGCGCACCGTCCCGATAAGATTAGATGGGTGGGGCGGGAAGGAGAAAAAAAACTTACCAGTCTTGGTAGCGGTCTCACAAGCGACCTAACGGCAACATGTTAATACAAGACATTCACATGCAAGGTGGAGAAGCCGGACTGGAAAAGCGCCGGCCAATCAAGGGGCCAAGGGGTGCGCAAGAAAAATCCGACTCAGATAGAACCGGTGAAGGTCCGTACCTTAGAGAGAGGGTCCTCAGCAAGGCAGGCATCGAGGATGGCATCGGAGACCTGGTCACTGTAAAATTATTGTTAGCAAGACTTGAACCGAGTGCGCCAGGTGGAATTGAGGTTCGACATACGCAATCTTATCGGGGTGACCCTCTCCGACAGACTCGGAGGTGAAGAGGAAAGTAGATCCGTTGGCGACGCTACCCATTGTGAAGAGTGGGGGTGGGGATATGTATAGATAGGGGGAAAGTGAAGAAAGGAGAGAGGAGACAAGGAGAGAAGAAGAGGAGAAAGATTAGAGAGGGGGGAATAGAGTAGATATTAAAGAAGCGAGAAATGTAAGAAAATGGGAGGGAAGAGGGAAAAGGGAGGAGGGGAAAGAAGTGAAAAGAAGGAGGCAGAGAGGGGAATCTCGTATTAATGTGTCTCCGATGGCGCCATCTCTTCCGGCGGTCGGACTAGGCAGAAAAAAGTAAAAAAGAATTGAGAAAGGAAAAAAAAAGACCCAAAGGAAAAACATGCATCGGGGGCGGATTTTGATTTGCCAACCGAAGAGAACCCCCCTCTATTGTGCTATCAGCCAATCGGCATCTCTCTCAACGGACGACGGACCTTCGGACTTTCTTCAATTTCATTTAAACCTGCAAACTCGGGGTTGAATTACTCTGCGAACTACCGAAAGCTCCCTCCTTCTCCCACCTTTACTCCATCTCCAACCTGATTCAGATCACCCTTCGGATTCCGGCTCGCTTACGGGAGAATTGCGTGAATTTCCTTGGGTTTTCCTGCAACTCCGAACCTAGTAGCAACTAGCTCCCCTCCTTGTCAGCAGTCGACCCCGCGCCATACCTACCTTTTCCATTACTATTAGCTTCAACATCAGCATCAGCACCCACCAACTCAAAGTGCCGCCGTCAGCATGTCCAAATACGGCGTCCTAGTAATGGGCCCCGCTGGCGCGGGCAAAACCACCTTCTGCAGCTCCATCATCCAGCACCTCCAAAACACGCGTCGCAGCTGTTTCTACGTGAACCTAGATCCCGCGGCAGAGACCTTCAACTACGAGCCGGACCTCGATATCCGCGAACTCATCACTCTCGAAGATGTGATGGAAGAGCTGGGACTAGGTCCCAATGGCGGGCTCATCTACTGCTTCGAGTTCCTCCTCCAGAACCTTGAATTCCTCTCCGAGGCCCTCGACCCTCTCAGCGAAGAATACCTCATCATCTTCGACATGCCGGGTCAAATCGAGCTCTACACACACATTCCGCTGCTCCCTTCCCTGGTGCAGTTCCTATCCCGCCAGGGCCCGCTGAACATCAGTCTCTGCGCGGCATATCTCCTCGAGAGCACGTTCGTCGTGGACAAAGCCAAGTTCTTCGCCGGCACGCTAAGCGCTATGTCGGCCATGTTGATGCTGGAAATGCCGCACGTGAATATCCTGAGCAAGATGGACCAAGTCAAGGACATGGTTTCGCGCAAGGAATTGAAGCAGTTCACTAACGTGGATGTGAATAACTTGCTGGGCACGGCGGGTGACGATGAGGAGTCATCAGTGGTTACTGGAGACCCATCGTCCAAGGACGCAATGCTGAGCGGAGGATCGTTCCAGCAACTGAACCGCGCGGTCGGGCAGCTCATCGACGACTTCAGCATGGTCTCGTTCCTCAAGCTCGACGTGCAGGATGAAGATAGTGTTGCCGCGGTGCTGAGTCACATCGACGATGCCATTCAGTACCATGAGGCTCAGGAGCCCCGCGAACCTTCCGATGCCCAAGAGGTCGATTACGAAGACTGAGCTGAGTGAGATGCCGTAAGCCGTTGTTGGCGCTGCCGCTGCCGCTGCCGCCGGCGCGCCGTGATTACGCCATCGCGTCAGGATTTGGGGGCGCATGCGCTAGCGCATCCTACTTTTCACTCCGTCGAGTTATATAGAGCTCTAGTTGTTGTTACCTAGGTAGCTTGTGCGTGCCTGGATGCTGTGGAACCGCTACCTTGCTGAGTCACCGACAGCAACAACAATACCCAACCCACCCAACAAACACTCGTCGCTGTTCTGCCATAAGCATCTACTACCCACTTGATATGGGGGCCAAATTGAAGGCAGACAGCATGCAGTGCTCGTATCCGGATACGACTTAAAGACCGAGGGGAATTATCTAATTGTCCGACCGACCGATCCACCTGAAACAGGAATGTGAGCTGAAGGAACGAGATGGATTATGTTATGGCATTGTGCCAACCACATACTACTACCCCTTACAACTATTATCTATAATCAAGATGTCTCTTAAAACCGAACCAATGATAATGTCATAGCATATGCAACCTGCACCTGCACCTTTTTCGTGTCACTCGGTAGCTCCGTAAACAGCTTCTTAACTGCAGAAGTAGTAATTGATAGATAGATAAGTAAGTAGCATATGAGTTGTTTCTTCTGTCTTGTCTTATCTTATCACCAAAACAAAAAAAAAGAGAATTCCTCAATCCTTGCAGTATACATGGCTTAGCATACCATAGCACCACCACATATCTATACCTCTACACCGCTCAATTCAAGGCAACTGAACTGAACTCAATTCACATTCAATCGAACCAAAACCAGCCATGTAATCCATTCCATGCAGCATGCAATCGTTTATTCGTAATAAGTAGCCCAGCTCAGTCCAGGCCGGTCTCGGACCGCGGCTCGACTGCGGTGTCATTCTATTTCCTTATTCCACCCTTCTTCATCTTCCAATGCAATCCCATCTAGCATGACCATCAACCCCATCCATGATTATTACCAAGTTCCCAACTCCAACTCAACCCCAACTCATTCTTTTTTAACACTCTCCCCTCACAACCCAAAACTAATACCTCCCCCCACCCACCCCCGTCGCATACCCCCCAACACCCCCAGACCCCGTAACAGCCCTCCCGCCCTCCACCCCATCCCTAAACCCATCCACAAACCCCCCGCAACACCAACAAGCCATCCCAAATCCCTCCCGGTCTTCTCAATCCCAACCGAATAAACATACCACAAAGCACCCAGCACGAGCGCCCACCACAGCAACCTCAGGGCAAGATTCACCCAGAACATGACGAGACGGCGAGCATAGTCGAGGATCTTGAGGGAGATGATGAGGACGAGGGCGAGGATGAAGATGGAGACGAGGTCGGGCATGGGCATGGAGGAGGTGAGGAGCGAGGCGAGCGGGTGGATGAGGTAGGGGTCGAGGTAGGCGGAGCGGCAGTGGGAGATGTAGGGGGTTAGGTAGGTGGTATGGAGGGAGGCGAGGTGGGAGGCGATGGGGGTGGAGGTGAGGGTTTGAAAGGTCGGATGTTGTTGGATTAGAGAGAGGAGGGAGTCTGTTAGGTTGGTGAGTGGGTGGTTAATATTGTTGATGTTGATGTTGGTTGGGGAGATTGGGAGGGGGTGGTGGTGGTGGTGTTGATGGGGTAGGAGGTATTGGTTGCGTTTGAGATATTACCTGGGAGAAAGTCCATTGTGTTTGATTTAATGGAGCTCACTGTCACCAGATGTAGTAATCTGGTAGGAAGAGAGTATAGAGGCAGGCGAGGTGGCCACTCTCTTTTTATGCCTTCAAGATTGGACGATGAAGGTTTGTCGTGGGGCGATCACGGGTGGGTAAGGTTGCAGGAAAGAACCTTGTGCTATATACGGAGAGTTCTTATAAGGTGGAAAGTATCATGGTTGAAATGAAGAAGCCAAACAAAGGAGATTGAAAGAGAAGATGATGGATGAAGGAGAGATCGGGACTTTCCTTCGGCCAGATGCGCCAGAGACAATGCGGCCATGCGCGGACCAATTAGCGGCCGAGCGCAAAGCCAAACCAGGCAAACACCGCAGCCAGTCCGGGGGTGGATCCCGTGATATCACGGAACTCGCAGGCATGCGACAAGTCAACTCTCTGTTTTTTTCCTTGCACATTCTTATTTTACTCTGCTAGAATTTCTTTCATCTCAACATACTCAGCTGAAAACTGTACATCTATGCAATTATACATGATCACGTCGTGATCGTGAGATATATACATGCCCATCTGGCCATGGACCCCCAAGTGACCATATACAAGCATCGGAGTATGCGCTGCACCCGACCAAAACAAATAGGGTGCTTCCAAAACATGTCACACGCTAGAGTGTCGACGCCAAAAAACACCTCCCATGTGATTATTTTATACAGCGAAGAAACAAGAAAAGTCTAATATGCCGTCGTTCAAGCCATCAGAGTCCTGAACGTCTCGCGTTGGGCCATGATTTCGGCCTGGAGTTTGCGGGTCTGGCGGAGTGCATCGTCCCTGTTGCAGTTTGTTAGCAATTATTTCAAGATAACACGTCTCTCATGGCTTACCGATCAGACTGAAGTTCCGCGACTTCAATTTGCGCCCGGTTCATCCGGCTCACAACTTCTTCCATCTCCAAATCGGCGTCGCGAAGGAGCTTCTCCAGCTCCTTCACCCGCCGTTCCAGCGTTTCCGATTGGATAGCCTGATCCAAAGCAATACCCCTACCACTGGTTGTCAAGTCCAGACGAGGAGACCGTGAGCCAAAGGGCGTGGTCGGAGGCATGGGCGACAAGGCCGCAGGGCTGCGAGCGCCGTTCTTCATGCGCTTCAGTTGCGCATTATGGTTCTCCTCAAGTGCGCGCACTTCTTCTTCGTGGCGCGCCATTTCGTCCTCGGAGTACTGCTGCGCCATCAGCAGGATGTCCTCCATCTCCTTGAGACGGGCCTGCATCTCATTGATACGAGCGGCTGACAGCTGCTGCTCCTTTTCACCCTTGCCAATGGCCTCGGCCAGACGGCTCCGCAGGGCATTGTTGCTGGCCAGCTGCTGTTGCACATGCTGCGCAAGCATGTCGGTCCGGCTGACCGACTCCACGAGTGAGTTTTGCTCGGCGAGGGGCGACTGGGCCGCGCTTGCTTCGGCGATTTCTCGATCCGCCTGAAGTTGCCTGTAAGCGGACTCCAGGGACGAAGAGGTTGCGAGGACCTCGGCGAATCCATCCCGATCACATTCGAGGTCTTCGGGGACGGTAATGTCATGCTCCTGGAGTATTACGCGCAAGGAGGTGGTCTCCTGTTCAGCCCGGTCCAGGTCCATCTTCAGACCTGCCAAGCCTTTTTCGCACTGCCACTTCTGTTCCAGGGCTTCCTCGGCACGCTGCCGAAGGTCGTTTACTTCTTCGCGCAAGTTGCGCACTTCGCGCTCATAGCCCAGCTTGCGCGGAGAGCCCACCTGCTGTGCGCGCGCAATCTCCATCTCCATGAGCTGGAGCCGCTTCTCGTACTCACGGGCATCGTGAGCCTGGCGATCAAGCAGACGCCGAAGAGACTGGTGAAGCGCATCGCGCTGCGCCTCAACATCCTCGATTCTATCTGCTAGGTTCTCGCGGGGAGACTCATTGCGCTCCTTGGCGGATACGGAGTTGGAGCGCGACAAAGAACTGGAGCGGGAGAGACCGGGCGACGGCTTGGTGCGCACGCGCGCCAACGAATTCGACCGCGACAGTCCCAATCCGACGTTTCTGGCAGTGGGCATGCCATCTTCTTCGGCAATTGAAGCGAATCGACTGCCTTGCAGCTGGGCGAGGGAGGCGTTTTCGATCTTCAGCGCTTCGATTTCCTCCATCAACCGCTGGACTTCCGACGGATCGGATGGAGGCGCGGCAGATTGACTGCCTTGTTGCAGTTGAGGGATAACAGTGTCACGCATATGATCCCGTTCGTTTCGCAACTGTTCGAGTTCTACTCGCATGGCGGTCAACAAGTCTTCAAAATTATCCTTGATTTGGCGCTCTTCGGCCAGCTTCCTACGGGTATCATCTAATGCGGCTTCGAGCTCCCTTGTCCGGGAGGACAGGTCCGAGAGATCTACTCTCTCCCGTCGCAGCTAATGTGTGTTAGTCTTGGAGTTCAACAGTTCTCTGTGCTGATGGAAGTCATACCTGCTGGACTTGGGACTCTAGTATCTGGACGTGTGCTTCCGAGGCTGCCCGGCGACTGCGCTCTTCTTGCAACTTTTGGCCCAGATCCACCTTGATCTGAGCCCGCTCCTGCTCTGCAGTGCGTTTGTACTTTTCAATGTCTTCGACCCGACCACCCGACTCGAACGCGTAGCGGATGGAGCTGCTGCCTGAATCGGAGAAATAATCGCTGGTACGGCGATTGGGGGTATCTAAGGGCATATCCGACTGCAATCTCTCCACCAGATCCTCCAACTCCATCTCCCGCCGGATGGACCCGGCCAGCTCTGAGCTAATCTCCCGCAGTTCATTCTCAAGCTCGGTCACCAGCGTCGTCGCCCTGGAGTCCAGGATACTTCCACTGCTCAGAGATGGATTTCGCTGCGGGAGAGGCACTTGCGGCTTGGAGGGATCGAAGGGCACCGTGGTGGACGGCGTTATGGAGAAGGACGCACTGTGGAGGGAGGCAGGCATCGGGGAAGGCACCGGGGAACGACCGGTCTCGGAGATCTCGGTACTGGAGGATTCCGCGCCGGGTGAAGATGTCGTAGCGCGCCACCCAAAAAAGGAACTGATCTTGTTCGCCGGGGTTTTCGGCTGTTTGGAGTCACCGGACGAGGACCGGCTGGGGGAATCGATATGTAGCGGTGGAGGACGGCGTGAGGGGAGGTGCAAGGCCATGGTCGTGGGGCGCTTGGGGAGGAATGCCGGCGATTTGAGGATGGGAACGAATGGCTCGCTCACAAGACGGCTGTGTAGGGACGTCCCATTCGAGAATTGAGAGGAGTATCTGGGGTTGTGGGTATTGGCGTTGCTGCTCTCCTCGTCGTCGTCCACGTAGGCTGCGGAGGTATCTATACGTAGATGGGACGCGGACGGACCACCACGGGGAGATCTGGAGAAGAGTAGAAAAAGTCCGAGATTAGTCTTGCCACGTCTGAAGGGAAAAGTGGACATGGAAAGGCCTTCTCCCGGCTGCAGAAGTAGCGTGAGATTGCAAGGACCGCAAGCACCAGAGTGAGGGGGGGCAGGGGGAGAAGGTGAGGGGAAGAGAGCACGGGCAGGGGGCAACGGCTGTCATACCTGTCCAGGTTCCTTGGAACCGAATGAAGGGAGTCGTCGTCCTCCTGGCCGTCAACTTCATACACGGAACCGGAGAAGGAATAGGTTGAAGCAGGGGAGTAGGCCAAGTGATGATGGCTGGCAGCGAGAGGAGAGGAAGAGACAGGGAGTGACAGCGGATCTGCAGGCGAGTCGCCCGGGGGGGAGGAGGGTAGCAGGGGCAAGGAAGGAGGCCTGGATTGGGGCGACAGGATCACAGCATCCTGGGGAAGCGGTTTCCTGCGCACAAGGGTGGCCGAAGGAGGGGGAGAGGCCAGAGAGGTAGTAGAGGGCGGCAAATGGGAAGAAGGAGAGGTGACAGGACCAGCAGCGGCGGCGGCGGCGGCAGCGGAGGTGGAGGAGGAAGCAGAGGAAGGAGGACGAGGATGAGGAGGAGGAGGAGGACTTGGCCAAGCGCCGGGGTCATCAGACACAGGAGATGGAGACAACTGATGATGAGTCTGGGACAAGGAATGGAGATGATTATGGTTTGGGCTTGAGGATAAAGCGCCCGAGGCAGGCGGAGAAGTCCAGCCTGGGGCCATGAGGGAGGAGACACTCTAATTGGCAAGGTTGAGCGCCAAACCCGGGACAATTGACAAGAACAGGTAAAGACGGGAAGGGAAGGGGGGTGAAAGACACAGAGAAGAGGGAAGATCAGAAACAATCGGTGGTCAATGGGTTCAGGATCGACGCACCCTCATGGTGACGAGGGCAGGAGGCGTTTAGTTTTGGCACGGGGCAATAATCATTCAATGGGGAGGAGAGGCAGGTTTGACAAGACGTTCAGGGGAATAATAGTGGATGGAACGGACCCATTGGACGGGAGAGGGAAGTAAGTAGATAGTCAAGTAAGTAAAGTTCAGACAATCCCAATCTAGCTGGATCAATCAGTCCATCACAAAAGCAGACATGCACACATGGATTACACGCAGTCTGTTTCTGAATGGGTTAGTTTCAGTTGGTTTAGAGGGAAGATCGGGGCGATAAGGGCGAAGGGGAGGGAGAAAAAAATAAAATAAAAATAAAAATAAGAAAAAGGAGGGCGGATTGAAAGGGGCGGAGAGTAGGAAGAGAGAGAGAAAAGAGAGAAAGAAAGGCTTCGGAGAGAGAGGATCGTGAGATTGACCATAGCTTCAAGCCGATTGCTGATTGGTGCCGACAAAACTAATTCCCGAATTGGTGGGGATTTGCTCTAGTACTAACTACTCAGTTACAGGAATAATCCATGATAATAATCCGCTGAATCTTTAGTTAGTTGGTAGATACAAAGTGGTTGGTTGTGGACACCCAAGTTCTCACTATTCAGAGGGCATTGCTGATTTAATTCTCACCAGGCTGAAGTCAACATTCCTACAGCTCCTCCCATAATTCTTTACACATTTTTCTCTCCATCTTCAAGCTATCTCTAGTATTC